GCTGTGATTATTTTAATGCCATTAAGCCATATATCGTTACACTTGAATGCACCTATTTAAGAAAACACTATACTCTCCCCTTCATGCCACTACTCTCATGGATACATGCTGAACACACAGCCTGTACTCCCCGTTGCCCACCCATGTGCTCCCAAACACACCTGACGGGGAGCTTCACTCTACTGAGTGCACTATTCTAGTTGATGCATGCAATGCATTTGTAATTGAGCCAATAAAATCACAGCTCTACAGTTAGACTTCATTACACTTTTGTGCAAAAGACTTCCATAATGCCCTGCCATATTGTAAATCCCATCTTGACACCACCGCATGAAGATTGGTCAGTGAAATAATATGACAACTATGTTGTTTTTATACTGTAGAAATGTTGGCTAGTCATCCGTATAACAACACTGACAGCACAGAGTCCTCAAGTTTAAATGCTGCTGTTGGTTGAAAGTATGGCAGAAACCAGCTATGAGGTCACCGAGGTCTGGACCTGCATAATTATATGTAGGCTAAAGCCTAGCAATGAACTATGCAGATGCAGCGGATTACACCGTCGCACACCTCATTTCAACTTGAAAAACTGTTTCCCCATCAGTGTCCAGACTTGATGAAGCACATGAAACTGTGCGCGCAATAACTGAGGGCCCTGCTGTCAGGCTCTCAGTTATACTAACATTATAACGTGATACATATGCGATGACCATGCCATAAATACGTTTTGTGAATTTCTGGCTGGGTGAAATAGGGTGAAGCGTCTCCCCATTAAGAGAGACGCTGTGTGCACTTATATATAGAGAGAGAGACCGTGTGAGCATGTGATTTAGGGCATATTGACACTTATTTGAAAACTCATTTTTGTTTTTCTTTAAATTTATTCCAGGTACCATTAAAAAAAAACTTCAATATGGAAAATGTGAAGATACAATCAATCTTTTCCGTGCTTTTTACCCCTCATAGCATGCACACACCCACACACACACAAAACCTGTTTCTCCAATCTCTCAGGGACTTCTCTCCCTTTCTCTTTCAGCCTTTTATAGACTGATTTAAATTAACATCTGCTGCTACTCCATAAAAAATGGAGCCTGGAGGATTCAATTCAATTAGAATAGAAAAAAGGGATGGCTTAATTCATTTAGAGGGAGATGAACTCTAAAAACTAGGTTGCCCTAGCCACCTGTGAGGAAGTGGAGACAGAAAAACAACTATATTTAACAACAAAAGCAATTTATTCAAGTGTTAAACCTTAAAGGAACTACGTGTAAGAATTTAGACTGTCCACCTGTCAAATTCATACTCCAATGCAATAGGGAGCAGTATATCACATGTCACGTCATAACTGCTGCTTACTGCCGTTAGCTAATTAGCTCAGTTAGTGCACCTAACATAGCGGTCCTATTAGCTGACGGAGTCTGAAATGGGCACCAGAACCAGGTGAGTGGGCGATGGAACTGTGGCAATGGCACAGCAGCCTCCCAGACAGGGACCATACACAGCCTCTGACACTGATGGCAGCTAGTATGATGACAGGGAATACGGTACTGATGAGAAAACGTGAATGTGTCTGGTGGCATTTTTCTTTTAATATTATTATTATTTTGTAAGAATATTTCCTTTCTTCACATTTTGTGAGTTTATTTTGTTTATTTATTAAACTAAAAAAGCTAAAAGAGCTTGTGTAACGTAACTTGCTTCTGTCACGATCTGGCTCTTGGACAAATATGGAGACACACCATATTGAAAGTTTAACAGAGGATAATCAATACATTTTGAACGTAAAAACAAAGCATGTTGTGTGAAAATCAGTAAAGTCAGAAGTGAAAGGTGTGAATGAGTGAAAGTATGGTGTATGTTGAGGTGTTGAAGTGTAGAAATTAAACAACGGAGAACTAAAAACCGTCTCAGCCACATCCGTGAAGGGGGACGCCTCTGCGATGATGGGGAAAGAAGAGAGAAAGTCACCGCACTACTGCCAGGCTTAAAGGTTCAGTGTGTAAGATTTAGCGGCATTTGGTGGTGAGCGTTGTCAATTGCAGTCTACCCTTTCAAAGTGCATAGGACTGCTACAGTGGCTGACACAGAAAGGTGTCTCTTCTGAGACAGCAGAGAGTGGATTATATTTACTTAATTATTTAGCAAAACTACATGTTATAGTGACTTGGCCACTGACAGATAAAATGGAAAATGTAAGCCAGGAGCGCGTAACATTGTCACTGTTTCTGCATCAAAGTCCATTATAAAAAACACATTACATAAAATTTATACAAACATTGACAAGGGAAACACATTCATCCTCTCTATGATTATGTATCCTCGCCAAAACTGCCTGCCAACAATAATATTTGGCCTGCAGCCAGATTATGGTGCTTTGATAGTGGCAAAAAATATAAATAAATAGATACTTTGATAGGGGTGCTGAAATAGATCTCAGTCATGACAGCAACAGTTGCTAACATAATCACTTCCTCTTTAGTGGTTTTGCCTACCAAATAAAAGCGCAAGAAGCTTGTTTACTGTCATGCAGTATTTGGAGTTGAACTGAGCTTTTACTTGGAAAAATTCTGAACGACATTAAAAGAGTCTGTAGCCTGCTTGACACACCTCTGAAACAGCTGTCAGAAAACGTGATTCCCCTAAATGTTCTCTGCCTGGAGACACTGAGGAAATGCAAAAGCATCCATAACTTGATGGATGCGGATCAAACACCAAAACAACAGTGCAGCACATGCCGTGATCTGGGAGAAAACGCTACTGACCAACTGAGCTAACCAAACATGTTGAAATAAGTCACTATTATTGCTTATATTCTCATCCACCATTTAAAGACTGAAAAGTTTCCTCTGATGCAAAACTTATTGGCAGACCCCTGCTGGATATTATTACTTCTTCTTCTTCTAACGTACGTATTCAGCATAGTGATACGTGTCTACACTGCCTGAATTCTACCAGAAGAAGAACAAGAAGAACAAAAAGAGCGTAGTGACGAAACAAGCTTAGCTTTACTATTGAACTATTGCCACTGGAGGGCAAGTGGTATTATAACACAGGATGAGCCCTGGCTATCTCATTAGCATGGTAATTTCAATAGATATCTTTGTAACACAATACATACAGTACAGTATATGTCTTTGACATAATGTCAAAACTGTTTTATTTATTTTTTTATTTGACTTGTCTGAGGTTGACATTGATTGCTGTAAAGCACTTTGTTACCTTTATTGAAAAGTGCTATACAAATACAATTATTATTATTATTATTATTATATACATTTGTTGTACACTTCATGAATCTGTGTAGCACCACTCGTAGTATTGCTTAAGGGATACTACAGGTGACAGTTAGGATTTATAGGAATGTTGGAGGAGAGAATGAATGGATATGAGGAAGGTGATAACTGTGGGGGAAGATATTGTTCATTTAGGCCTACTTCTCTCAAAACTCCACCTATTACATTCGGGGAAACACAATAACAGAACGTAGCCACTTTGCATTTCTTTGTGGTAGATTTTTCTGGCAATTTGACTGAAAGGGATTTACACATTTTATTATTTGTTGTACACTTCATGGATCTGTGTAGCACCATCGTAGTATTGCTTAAACTACAGGTTAGAACAGGACAGAATGGGTTTACCCAGTATAAGTAGGCTTGACAGGTGATTAGATGTGGGGATGAGGCATGGTCCTGCTCTGGAACTTAAGTGAACAAGTTAACATAATTTGTTTATATCCACGCACAGATGCATAGCTTAGATCATAGTTATGGTCTTATTAAAATGCTGTACATTCCCTGTTCTCTAATCTGCATAGGTGGGCGTCTACAAGTGCCATTAAGCCCTCAGGAAGATTTCAGCTTAGCTTTAAAGAGTTGATATTATATGCATTGCCTCTACCATAAAGACTGTACACATGCCAGCATAATCTGAACCCCTTGTGCGATTCCTTCTCTGGCTCAGCCATTTCTAAACCCTGTAAACCGCACCACACACTCACACAAGCATACACATTTACAATTAGCTTCCCACTCAGTGCATTCCTTTCTGTAACTTATCTCAGCTGTGTGTATTGACATATTTGGTGTAACATTAATCCTTTTGGCACACCTACGCTGCGCTCTTTGCGTGATTATTAAAGTGTCACATCACATTTGGCTTTAGCGGCCAGGACTGAAATGGCTTTGAAGGATTACAAAGGAAGCTGAAATACAACACAAGCAAACATAACATGATAGCAGGCACAAGTTCAGATGGATGAGTGAATACACATACTACAAACATGCTGCACAAACACATAGTATAGAGTAGTAATTAGACTGTGACTCATTTTTCATTGTATTAGTTATGTACTGCAGCACACAGGAATTTAACTGAAGCAAGCTGAAATTGCTGACTTTCGGCTATAACCCCTGGCACTCTATTTGAAAATCACATCCCCTTTTCAGACCAGTATACTTCTGGAATCTCTGGGCGTCACTCTTTTAGTGATATGTGATACAATTGTCAACATATCCATCAAGAAATCATGTAAAACAATTAGCTCTTTATAACTTACAATCAAAAGTAATTTAGCGGATTGTTGTCTGTACATGGCCACAGTACAAACAGGAACTGATTGTAGCTAAATTCAGTATGACTTCACATTTTCTTTGCCATATTTACTACTTGGTTGCTTTACAGTCTATACAGGAAGCATTTCAGTCTTGTTTTTCATCCGTCTCACCTTGTTTGCCAAAAGAGATCTGCTTCTATTTTAATAAATACATCTGTCTACACAGGACACATAATGACTTGTTTCACTCATGCATTATGCTTATAACTGCAACCTATAACATCTTTTTAGGTGTCTATTTTCTTTTACACATGTAACTAAAATTTATTTATTTATAGATTTAGCCAGAAGGCTAGTTGATCTGTACTCCCTGACAGGTCATTGCATTACAGGGGGAAATAAGAAAAGTACAACAAACAATAGAAATAATAATACAGTACATCACAACAAAATATTTTAATATATATTGTAAATAAATGTGGTAAAGTGCAAGTTATTAACACATGCAGTTTAAAGTCCAGTGCAGTGATGTTGATCCAAAAGAAGGTGACCTTCACAACACTTCTGTGCTGGAATGTATCTTGTGTAGACACTGACAAATTCTTAATCTAACCTTTTTGTACAGTGCTGCCGACTTGCAGCTTTCGCCACAAAGCCAGTGTAGACATGGTCTTGTCTTCTGCGTGTGAAACACATGATAAGTTGGACTAAGGACCATAAAAAGCCAAACTTTCCTACTGCACTGCACTGCCTATATGACCTGAAGCTCAGAAAAGGATAACGACACTTCTGCAAAAGCTTGTTTAATCTTTCACTTCTTTTGCCTTTTACATGTGTAAACACAAATGAACTGTATAGAACTAAATTTTGTGTTTCACACAAACATATATAACCCATGTATGACACATGGAACCTTACATATCTGAGCAGGTTTCAGGGTTTGTGTGAAGTCTGTTATGATCTGTCCTCTCACCCAGCGCCTCTGGCAGTCTGTCTCTGTATGTTCAGATCCATCTGGAGGGTATACACACAGACACGGTCACAATAGTGATGTGAGTCACATTTTTAGCTGCCATGCTGTTTCAAAGTGGTTGAGCAGGTAGAAGTTCAGTGTGTGGCAGTGAAATGAGGCTGTTGGGGGATACTGCAGGATCAAACATAAAATTTCAAATTGCAAGAGCTGTGATTTTAATTTCAACTTACACAAATAGTGTATTAAGTTGTTGGAGATGAAAGTTTTAGCTGCCAATTATGACAACTGTCACTGGCAAATTTACTCAGTTGTAGCTAAGAGTTGGCCAAAAAACAAACAAGAAAGTCTTGACTGACGGTAAACGTTAGTTTAAGCAGGTGCAGTGCTGTCAACAGTTTCAGTAGGGGGCTGAGGAAGCGAAGAGGCGAGGGAGAACAGGGAGGACACTGTGGGGGAAGTCCGAAGAGGAGAGGACCGGATAATGAGCCCAGCTGACTGAACGGAGGACGAGAGTGAGTGAACCTGGGAGGAAAGCAGACAAAGAGACGAAGCACAGGGAAATTGGAAGAAAACAGAATACATGCGAGCTTGAAGGTAGAGGTGGCACCGTGTATGGAGCAACGACGATCAAGCAAGAATGGTGTGGAGAACTGGGGTTGAAATACAGGCAGGGATGAGGTTGACTACTGGCAGGTGTGGCAGGCTGACATGGTGGCTGATGAGGTGCAGGTGCGGGTCGTTGGCTGGGCTCAGGAGCAGAGGGAGAGAGCGCAAACACAGGGGAGGAAACAGCGCCGCCACCACAACAGACTATTTTCTTATTTATTTTAACTCATTCTATTCATTTAGAACCATGATCAATTCAAATATATAGATAATTTGAAAAGGCAAAAAAAGAAAAGTAAATGTTAGGGGAGCAAGGTGTGGCTAGACAATCACATTTTTGGACTTATTACATTGTAACTTCATATCAGCTCCAGTCTTTGTTTAATGTTTTTTTTGTGAGATCACTCTCTGTATTGTCCAAAATGGCAAATCCCAAACATTCATTCTATTATGTCACAATACAATTAAATACTCAGCTTCTGTGTGAACTAATTGCACAGTAATAACTCTCAACAGATATGAAAGATGTTCCCTACTGTTGTGTGTGTTCATTAGATTTTAGACCTGGTATAGCAGCACGCTGCAATTCAGAGAGGAAACGTAACAAACACAAGCAACAACAGGAGGCCTGACGGTAATTGCATGTTTGTTTTATACAAAAGCACAGCGTGATGCAAATGTGTGGGAACGTGTGTGCCTGAAATGGAACAGGCTGGGTTAGAGGGAAAATTACTTTTTCAGTGTATGCGTGTGTGTGTGTGAGTGTGTGTGTGTTAAGTCATATAGCAGCCCAACATGAAGCCAGTGTGTGTTCCCTCCCATGTGTCAAAAGGTTTCATACAGCAATAATGAACGCTGTTTGTTGTGTATTATCACTGCTACCCTTAAGGCCTACACAAACACACACTCACACAGACTTGGTGAATTTAGTAATACAGTGACCCCTTTAATTTTTTTCACTCTTTGTTTCATTGCAGCCATTTTCCAAAAATCAAAAAAGTTCATTTTATTTCTCAGTAATGTACACTCAGCACCCCATCTTGACAGAAAAAAACAGAAATGTAGAAATTTTTGCAAATTTATTAAAAAAGAAAAACTGAAATATCACATGGTCATAAGTATTCAGACCCTTTGCTCAGTATTTAGTAGAAGCACCCTTTTGATCTAATACAGCCATGAGTCGTTTTGGGAAAGATGCAACAAGTTTTTCACATCTGGATTTGGGTATCCTCTGCCATTCCTCCTTGCAGATCCTCTCCAGTTCTGTCAGGTTGGATGGTAAACGTTGGTGGACAGCCATTTTCAGGTCTCTCCAGAGATGCTCAGTTGGGTTTAAGTCAGGGCTCTGGCTGGGCCATTCAAGAACAGCCACGGAGTTGTTGTGAAGCCACTCCTTCGTTATTTTAGCGGTGTGCTTAGGGTCATTGTCTTGTTGGAAGGTAAACCTTCGGCCCAGTCTGAGGTCCAGAGCGCTCTGGAAAAGGTTTTCGTCCAGGATATCCCTGTACTTGGCCGCATTCATCTTTCCCTCGATTGCAACCAGTCGTCCTGTCCCTGCAGCTGAAAAACCCCCCCAGCATGATGCTGCCACCACCATGCTTCACTGTTGAGACTGTATTGGACAGGTGATGAGCAGTGCCTGGTTTTCTCCACACATACCGCTTAGAATTAAGGCCAAAAAGTTCTATCTTGGTCTCATCAGACCAGAGGATCTTATTTATCACCATCTTGGAGTCCTTCAGGTGTTTTTTAGCAAACTCCATGCGGGCTTTCATGTGTCTTGCACTGAGGAGAGGCTTCCGTCGGGCCACTCTGCCATAAAGCCCCGACTGGTGGATTGCTGCAGTGATGGTTGACTTACTACAACTTTCTCCCATCTCCCGACTGCATCTCTGGAGCTCAGCCACAGTGACCTTTGGGTTCTTCTTTACCTCTCTCACCAAGGCTCTTCTCCCCCGATAGCTCAGTTTGGCCGGACGTCCAGCTCTAGGAAGGGTTCTGGTCGTCCCAAACGTCTTCCATTTGAGGATTATGGAGGCCACTGTGCTCTTAGGAACCTTAAGTGCAGCAGAAATTTTTTTGTAACCTTGGCCAGATCTGTGCCTTGCCACAATTGTGTCTCTGAGCTCTTCAGGCAGTTCCTTTGACCTCATGATTCTCATTTGCTCTGACATGCACTGTGAGCTGTAAGGTCTTATATAGACAGGTGTGTGGCTTTCCTGATCAAGTCCAATCAGTATAATCAAACACAACTGGACTCAAATGAAGGTGTAGAACCATCTCAAGGATGATCAGAAGAAATAGACAGCACCTGAGTTAAATATGAGTGTCACGGCAAAGGGTCTGAATACTTATGACCATGTGATATTTCAGTTTTTCTTTTTTAATAAATTTGCAAAAATTTCTACATTTCTGTTTTTTTCTGTCAAGATGGGGTGCTGAGTGTACATTACTGAGAAATAAAATGAACTTTTTTGATTTTTGGAAAATGGCTGCAATGAAACAAAGAGTGAAAAATTTAAAGGGGTCTGAATACTTTCCGTACCCACTGTATGTTGCCACCCTGCGGGTAGACTGGTTGCCTACATGGTATTTCCCTCTTAGAACAAAGAGTCAGAGAGAGAGAAGCCTATGAAGGGACTGTTACAGAGCAGAAGAAAGAGAGAGATGACAACAGAGACAAATAGGAAGGAGATGAAGCAAGAATAAAGGAGGTTTTAAGATGGGAGGACAAAAGGAAAGAGAAAAAAAACTACAAGGATAACACAAAAGAAAAGAAACACAAAGGCAGGAAATATTAATTTAAATATCAAAACATTTTCAAATGTATTCAAATAATGACCCAACAAAAAGTCCCCAATAAACCCCAGGTAAAACACTGAGGGGCCCTGCTCGAAATTACCTGTACTGTAATGGCTCACATGTAAAATGCTGTATAATTTCCAGGACAGTTGTAATATCTTCTGGTCTAATCATTCTTATATGAACAGAAATACTGTTTTCATTCATTAATTCCATTTATAAATATTTTGCCATTATTTTTTATTACTGTTAAGCTACTGTCAGTGAAGCTCTACTTCATGCATATGCTGCACATCAACAACCTTCTAGAAATGGGAAGGGCTATGCCTTTGAACTGCTGTTAACATCTGCATAGGTAGTGTTACCCCGGATTCACACAGGCGGTGTCTGTGCCGCGTTTAGATTTAGTTTCAAACCGTTTCCCCCAGTTCCCTGAAGGGCTGAATTTCCCACATGCCTGATTTTGATGAATTGTTTAGATTTAGTTGATTTGGTAAATTGTCCTTGATTTTTGTGCTTCTACCGTAGTTAAGAAGGCTACATAGTTAAATTATTTCTTTTTTGGTCTGTTTGTGTTTATTGTAGATATACGATCGGGAGATCGGTGAAAATCGACTGGATTCTCTTTGCTGTTTCTGTGCCTGACTTCCTGCCCGACTCATCTGCTTGGTTCTGCTTGACACGTTACACAGGCGGCGTGTGCGCCGCAGCTACCATGCCTAATTGCTGCCATTGTAGTCAATGCTTGTGCTCACACTAGAAGCGCCGCAGCGCATCCCAGAAGTGGCTCTCCGCTCCGGTCCGTGGTAGAAGCACAACAATCAAGGACAACTTACCAAATCAACTAAATCTAAACAATTCAGCAAAATCTGGCATGTGGGAAATTCAGCAAAATCTGGCATGTGGGAAATTCAGCCCTTCAGGGAACTGGGGGAAACGGTTCACAGAGCTGTGGACACAGCTGTGATCGGTAATCGGTAGCAGAAGCACACAAAATGACAAACAACAAGTCAACAATGTGGGCAAGCTAAAAGCTCAGCTGCAGAAATGCTTCCAGTGTGAGTTGACGCAGGGCTGAGTATGGGTCAAAACTGTGGCGCAGCCATATTGCGGCACACACGCCTTCTGTGTGAGTTCAGAGGTTAGTGTTAGTGATTGAGTATTTCTGATCAAAAGACAAACTCAGAGCAACAGAGCTGTGAGTAGGACAAGGCTATAGTGAATTTATGGAGAAAGGCAAATTATACCAGGCGCTGATCAGAAAACAGGGAGGCTTTTTACTAGAATATGATAAATAATACTTATAAAAACAGGGATGATTAGGACTAAAGATATACTTAATTAAAACCTGATTTTTGAGGTAAACAAAGGCCACTATTTGAGAATTTATGGTGAGAGGAAAGAAGAAAAGGTGAGGGGAGGAGAAGAGAAAGTATAGGAAAGAAGGCGGTTAGAGATAAAAGACTTATCTTATTCCACAGTCATGGGATGTATAGACTTTATCTCATCACTGTTCACACATATCATTATTATCATCATCAAGCAGACCTCAGAGTTTAATATGAAAGTTTTGATATCAAAACTAATTTCAGAGCCTGATGGAGCACAGCTCTTAAAAGGACAAATATGTGTTGTGGTCAGATTGCCATACACACCAGCCAGTCACAGCACACACCTGCTTGGGAGAAATACCTGAACGTAAAAGGTTATTGTAATTTGAAAACTGCAACACAGATTTGTAGATATATGTCCTGAAGTACAGTGCTGAGTCAGTGTTCCTTGGTTATCAGGGCCAACACGTAGATTTGAAAAGATTTATGCTCAGACACTTCGACTTGTAGATAAAGCAGACTTTATCAGGAGATTTCAAAAGTTGTCTTCTCCCATCTCCATTATAATGACTGTTAGGACAGTACTCAAATCCATTCCAGTGCTGTATAAAAGGCCAGTTTTTAATTGACAACTTACAGGTGAAAGGATAAGTCTCCCCAAGTCATGACTTGAATCATTGACATCATGTTTTTAAGATGGAAGCATGCAGACTCTGGTTTTGATTTGATCTGACTGTTAAAGCTCAGCCTCACAGTCAATAATTAGGCTATACCAAGATTCAAAGACAGGAAGCTGAGATAAGCACTGTGCTTATCTCGGTCACAACCTCGCTTATCTAACCTTTGGGCCACCACTGCCCCATATGTGTGTATGTGTATATATCTATCTATATCTATAGATATATGTCTATCGAATATATATATATATATATATATATATATATATATATTTAACCTTTATTTATTCAGGGGAGCTTCACTGAGAGGAAGCCTCTCTATAGATAGATAGATATCTTGAATAATCGTTGGATTAAGCGATTTGAAAAATAATCGTTATGTACAGCCCTAGCACTGACTCTCTTTTTTCTTTTGCATCTGTCTTTGTGTTGTCTGTGCTAACTAAACAAAGTTCAGGAACATAGAGAATCTATAGGACTGTAGTCATTCGTTACAGGGCATGGCAAATTTGGGCGTTGTCTGCATAGTTATTATAGTTGATTTTATTGACAGCAGTAAACCATCTTTGACCAAAAGTTAATATTGCATTCCTTTAACCATGATCACAATATTTCTCCAACATCTAGTTTTAGTTGCCTAAACCTAACCACACCAACCAAGGTCGTAAATCAGAAAACAGAGACATGATACCTTGAAGGAGGAGGCATGTTCACTGGTGTGTGTTATGTTTGTCTTTCCTCATCCTTCCACCCATCCATCTGCTATCTGTCCTTCCTTTCATCCACCCTTCCCTTTAATGATCTGTGAAGAAGAGGAGGGGGAGAGGAAGTAAGGAATGAGAGTAATAAAATAGGTTAAAAAAATAATTCCTTAAATTCTATCTAAATGTGTTTAATGAATAACACAACGCTGTGGTATTAACATATTCAAACATAATACATTTTTCAGATTATACCAGCACTAGCAATAGAGAAAGTGGAATCAGTCACACTTTTTTAGTGTGATAACTGATGACTGTTGAAAACAAAAGAGAAGGAACAAAGAAATACAGAAACACGCTTGGGTCATTAACAGACAGGCATAGGTCATTACCTGCAGTGCTAGAGTATGATATGGACAGGCAAGCTCAGTTGATGGATGACATTAACACAGCACAGCTCTCACATCAGGTGTTTGTAAATGAAAATGTTGGCTTTGTCTTGATGTGATCTTTGACATGGCAATATATCAATAGAATGTCTGCAGTGGGTATCCCCTGGAAACTTGTGTATTACAATGAGCTCTATATTAGCATAAAGGTACTGGAAAGAAAGAAATCCCTTCATTAATCTGCAAATGTATGCTGGAAGGGGTTGGACAATGTAAACATATTTAGCACAAGTATTAATTCTGAGGCTACATTGTAAAAAAAATGATGCACACACACAGCAAACACACACATAACATACTGTGAAAAGGAAGGACAAAAACACATGCCTCAGTCTCTGCGATATCAAAAATGCAAAAACGAGAAGACAAAGTACTCTTGATTCTACATAACTTAATTCATCCCACAATAAAACCCCACTGAAGTACCAATTTTTCTTACTTCAGTTTACCCAGAGAACAAAAACAGCTGTAACTCTGTAATTCAGGATTTTTCTTAGTCCAAAGTACAAGCTAACTCTTTGGTTAACACAAAACAACAATGTCTATACGAGTCATTAGCCATGTGTTTAACTATCAGACAGCTTGGCTGAGTGTGCCCCGTGTATAATTTGCAATTCTGTCCGTCCTTATTTCCTGGCAGCACAGGCTGAGTATCACGGCTGTTTAACAGCTGACAAATAACAGGGTAGTGGAATCAGTTTAGACAGCAGGAAAAATACAAAGTGGCAGTGGGAGTGATTTATGCAGAGTTTCCAAGAAGGTGGAATGGATTTGTCATTTTATTTTAATTTACATTTGTTTGTGTGTGTTCCTCAGAGTATCTAATTTGTTTTTCACATGTGCTCCCCTCTCTCGGTTTCTTTTCTTTCAAGCCTTCTATTTATGGTTTCTAAAGCCCCTTTTCCACTGCTCGGTACCAGCTCGACTCAACTCGACTCTGCTCGCCTTTTTTTGGTTTTCCATTGCGGAAAAGTTGTACCTGTACCTGCTTTCAGGTACTTTTTTTCATTTCACCTCGAGGTTCCAAGCGAGCTGAGGCGATACTTAAATGTTACGTGAAAACACAGCAGACCGCTGATTGGTCAGAGAGAATCGGCACTATTCACTGCGCGTGCCTGACAGAGGCCTGCAACAGAAAGTTTTATATTTTACAATTTTCATACGTTATTTCATCACTAAATCCACTTCTGAGAAGTTTTGAGGTGAGAAATCAACTGTGTAGATTTCGATCATTGACAGTTTTACGAGAAGTGATGGCGGAACAAAAATGTGCTTGAAAGACTGTGGCCACGGGAGGAGCTCGCGAGGCCGGCCAGCCGCCCGCTCAAAGAGCCCTCTGCTCCCACCGTCACACAGACCGCTGCAGCAACAACGGCAGAGGAAAACACAGCTGGAAGGTTTTCATACCGCTTATCTGTCTTTACATTCTGAGCAATGTTGAAACTTTTTAACTTAAATAAAGAGACAGCTGTGTGTGGGTCGTTGGTGTGTGTGTCGTATTGAAAATTACGTTGCGGCAGTTGTGTGTGGCGTCGCTATGACAACCAGCTACATTCAGGGTACTATCTCTGGGTACTATCTGCAATGGAAAACGGAGCACGGGCAAACCGAGTCGAGTCGAGCTGTTACTGGTAATGGAAAAACGGCATAAGTTCTGTCCCCCATTACCTCTTTTTTTGATACTGGCAGTAGTCAATCAAAACTTAGCGAAAGACAGTGTGCCTGAGACAAGAGGCTGTGATTCTCCCATACATTTTTATTAAGCTTGACAGACACAAATCCAAGCTGCAACCAGATTGCAAAAGTAAATAAATTTTACTTTTTGATGTTGCATTTACTAATGTGTCCACCTATTACATATCATAGGTTTCTTACTTTAAAGCTGGACTAACCAATATAAACCAAATCACTATGTGTAATGTGAAAGGGATCACTCATAACGACAAACCCAATAATTATCAGCCAATTCTGCAGTTCCCCTCAACTCCAAGGAGAGTTTTAGCATCTTTTAGCTCATTATTTTGGTTCAGTCTTATGGTGTGTTCCTACAGAAAGCAAAGCGAATTAAATTGCAAGATATGTAAGCAGTGTGCCACTTTCATGATCATTGTTCGCTGCATCCTTTCAAAAATGTTAGCTCAAACACACCTGTACTGATCAAATTAAGTATAATTATTACACAATTAACAAATAAGTGACACTTGAACCTTTTGTAACTATACCTAAAAATATGTCTCAAATAGCTAGCAGTGAAGTACAAGACCCTGCTTGCATCTGAATCTTGTGGAAATTGATAATGTGATGAAAAAATGGATGAAACTAAAGGAAACAGTTTAGGCATTCTGGATGAATGCACCACTGATTTCTTCAGCTTTCACTTTTCTACAACCCCCTTCCCACATATCACCTATGTTCCACCTTTCCCCTACTTTTAGGTTTGATTTTCACTCCATCTACCCATTTCCATTTCCTTTCTTCCCTCCTCTTTGCCTTGTCTTCTTTCCCACCCCATCCTGACTTATCCACCCTGTTCGCTCCATTTCCTCTCCTCCATCTTCTTCTATTTCAGCACCATCCTCCTTCCCCTCTCTTTATTCTCTCACACATTTCCAGTCTTCTGAAATGAATGAGTAACCTGGTTCCAATTCTCATCCCCTCTCTGGGATGTCATTTAAACGGCAGGGTGGGAACACACATACACTTACACCTGCTGAGTATGCAGATAGCAGCATTTGATTTTGCACAGTTAATCTCACACACAGAGAAGGGTACCTCATGTACACAAAAACAAAGAATATTCCTTTAGCACATTTTTTTCCCCTGTGTAATACAAATGTGAAAGGAAACAAGAGAAAGAAAGTACTCCAACAGATCACTCTCCCTGCAGAGGAGGGGGAATGGAAAAAAATTTAATAAAAAAATGTTAATGGGGAACAAAAAGTAAAATAAGAACAGTATTAGCACATTTTGCCATCACATAATGTCATAGTTCTAGAATAAAACTGAAATAAAGATACTTTTTTCTTTCTATTAAAGCACATGTTAGCCATATTTACAATGACTAAAAGAGCTGCAAAAATAAAACACATGAAATATGCAAAATGAAAATCGTTAGGTAGATTTGTTTGCATTTATATGATACTACATATGAAAATATTGAAAATACCATTTTATCAAAAATAAAGTGATACATTGTTTAAGTTGAAGTTTCGTTTTCTGTGGTGAACATCCCCAAACACAAATAAGCCTATTGCATAAGCCAGTGAACTGAGCTACAAGAGAGTTAAATAATGGGAAAGGTTCATAAACAGGGTTTGACATTATTTGGTTTGTTCAGAATCCCATAGGCCATCCCAAAGTGCAGTGCAGAACTGGCAGTGCTTTCACCTGTGAGTGAGCAGTCCACTAGCATGCATCCAAACTAACTAACAAACTAAAAAGCAGTGTTGTTTTTAGCCGCTAAGTGCAAGACGTCCACATCATATATAGATTATGACGCACATTTGTGCGCTTGGTGAACTCTAGAACTGGCTTGTCGGGTTGAAATTAAACAGGGTGATATTATTTTCCATCTAGCTCCCATTCTTGTGCATTAGCTTTCTAGCTAACTAGAGCATTTAATGTCAGCACTGCACTGTGGGTGGCTCTGGGGATTTTGAGAAAGATGACCACAATCTGCCATTACGGTTTCCAACAATTTGGTTCAAATAAATTAGCGTCCCTAATGTCAAAGAGCTATATCCATGAGGAAAATGGAGCATTCCTTAAATATTGATTTTTTTACTGAGCAACTTCAATTACCAATAAGAGAGATACTATGGAATAAATACTGTCCCAAACGTATTGTAGCTGTGTGGAAAAGTTTTGTACTCGTGAAAATGTTTTGTAGCTCTGTGAAAATGTTTGAATGTGTATAAATACCTGAAAAACCCAAAGTTTACAGGTACGAATCGATTCTACAGATACAAAACAAACCTAAAGTTACAAGTACTTTTGTCCCACATTTGACACGTTCTACTGAATAATCAATGGGGATGCTCTGATTAACATGTCATTTGACTATCCAATCAGGAATGTCATTTCACCATCCAATCACGGATTCTGGGGTGCAGGTCTTTCAACAAAAAACAAACAAAAAGAGTTATTGTTTCTCTTTAAAGATTTTGTTGTACAATTTGATAGTTCTGTTGCTTTTTCCAGAGTCAATAAGCTTAAGGGTTTTAATATATTCTGCAAATTTGCATAGAAATCCAGTGAAGTTGGGGAGTGTCTTTGCGATTTAGCACTTGTATTTGGAATTGTATATGAATTTAATGTATATGGAATTTCCCATGTAAGATCAATAAGTTAATTATAGTAGTAATAATAATAATAATAATAATAATAAATTTAATAATTTATCATGTTCGAAATATGCAAAGACATTTATACTGGCGATTTTAACATTGTTTTAAGTTTCACCCATAATATAGTCTTTAATAGTCCAAAACGTAAGTGAATGCACACTTTGCAATTGACTCTTCGCTAAGCCCCGCCCTTGCTTACTGTTGCTGAGTCCGACAAACTGTCTGCATTGCCACTGTCTATTCCTGCACTCCCCGGAGAAATATTGTCAAATTTGTTGGAAAAAGCGATCTCAGAAAGAAGCAGACAGTTTTGGCGTTGCATTATACATTTGAGGGTTGCATTCAGGCTGTCAAACTGACTCAAACGGATGTGAAAAACAATTAAAGTTAGAAGCTAAAGCCTACCACTCACACAGTACAAGTGAACCACCGCATCCCCTGACGACTGAGACAAAAGACAACTATATTAAGGATCAACACTGTTCTTGTAAAGGTTGGTAGGCCTCTATTCATTATTACAATCATTAAAAAGCAGAACAGTAGGGCTTTATTGCGTTACATTCAGTATTAAGTTAGCTAGCGTTAGCTAACTAACATTACATTAGGAATGATCCGCAGCTGACATTTTTCTGGATTTATTTCAGGTTTTGGAAAGAGAATCAATCGTACTTCTCCTTTCAACCTCTCTGGGTAGCGACTGTAACCATTACAAGTGCCCTAGGAACAGCATTTGACCATATCTAAGAAAAATACAGTCAAAAAAAGCTAGAAAACTTGCATTAGAGTCAATGGAGCGCAGCCACAAAAGTGTCAGACCTCAGTTAGAGAGAGTCCTATACTGCGCTGTGATTGGCCAGCTGTGTATTCGGGGTGTGGCTTAGCAAAGGGTCAATTAAGCCAATCTTCTACCATAGCTAATGACATCATACTGGGCTCCTGTTACATGAGTAATGGCATTTCATAGAATCAGTCTTAAAATAGCTCCACAGACAAACCATTCTGTATCTCCTTCATTCAACCAATGAACTGTATGATTACAATGTCATCTACTGTAAAACAAAATGAGTTTTTCACTTTGAGAGCTATTTATATATTTCTTTCCCATGCTGTTTTGGCCAGTTACTACCTTACCAGAAATGCCTAAGAAGAAATAAAATAGACACACAGATGTTTTTTTGCCAGTACATGATGCAGGTTGGTTACTTTGGAAAGAATATGGGTCTCATTTTGAGTTTTCTACGTTTTTAATTTATCCTCATTGAGCCTTCATGGCCATCACAAAGGCCACGATTTTCAAAATATGTCGTACTCAGATGGTAACTCAGCTACAGTCAAACAAACGCAATCTGTCTTCTAAAGGATCTTGAAGAGATATAAAAAGAGAAAAAATATGTTGCAAGACAAAGGAGAAAAATTTAGAGCATTCCTCTGTGGCATTTTTCTTTTGCCAGCCCACAGTGAAGACAAATGGAGAAAGAAAGAAAGATGAATCATTCTCCCTATGTGATCCTGCAGTGAAGCGTGTTGGAGAGAGCCAGCAACACTGCGAATGACAAGGAGACAGAATATTCTTCATAGTTTTTTTGGCCATATGAACCCACAGAGAGAGGAATTGAAAAGCTGTAGGGAGCTGTGACAGGAAGATCTCATTCCTCCTCCTCTCATCATCTTGGCATGGGCATTTGGGCAGTTAGAAAGACTGTCCTGTAGCTGAAAGGTCATAAGTTAAATCCTTGAAATGTCAGTGTGTACATGAGCAAATTCTTGCCACTGAACAAATGGCTTGTTATCGGTGTGCCTGGGAGACTGTATTTCACAATAAATCAGATATTTTTATGTTTACACTTAAAGTCTAGTGTGACTTTGGATTATCTACTGTAGTGCTGACTATGCAAGGCTATTTGACTTAATTCAAGTAAGTTTCACTTCCCTTGTCTTAAATACCAATTTTATCTTATTTGGGGTTATGTAGCTAGATAAAAGGGTGACAGAACCTCCATTACACTTGAACAATCATGTTAAACTTTGACGTTTCTGAAGTTTTATCGAATTTTAACCTTCAGACATTTGTTTCACATACAGTGAGTAAATATTAAATGTAGGCCTACGTTTATTGGTAAAAGAAAAAAACTTTAGGCACAGATTGTGCTTTTTTACCCCCCACCGTAAGTAGCCTAACTTGTGGGTGAACTGTCTTGGTTTCTTCCTATCTCTGTCCCTTAAGCTGGAGTGACACATCACAAATGTCCCCCATCTTTGAAAAGACTTTCCTATCAGCACCACCGTGGTGCTAAAAGGATAGCAGATAGGCTATTGACCCCTTTGACTCCCAATTTTTTTAGTTTAGCCTATATTAGGCTGTGTCAAAACTACATTACATCAAATAGAACACATTTAGGTGAGATAGTAGGCTATGCAGCATATCCCTGTAATTAAAGTTCTGTTGGTTTGAAATAAACAGCATGTATGTATGTGGCAGGTTTATCAACACACATGTTGGATGGCCAGGACGCGTACATGATGCAAGAGTGCTGAGAAATTCCACACTTTATAATCTGGCTGAGAACAACGAGCTATTTCAAATGGTGAATATAGACCACAGTGATTCACTAGTTTTTATATTGTTAAACTTGCACATAACCCAAAAATTGGCTGGTGACTCCATTCATGCATTATAATCTGATGTTATGCAAATATATATTACCTATGTATGAATGTATGTATCACATACATAGTCAAAGTCATGTCTGTAGATTTGCATATGTGTAATAGTGAAATGAGACAGTGATATGAGATAGGTGTGTGTGTGTTGTACATTTCTAGATCACCCGTGACATTCATGGCACATCAGTCTCTGTCATGCTTCTAGGAGACAGCATACCCCCTTCTGAACTGGCTCATGAAGCCTTATCATGACAATGGCCACCTAACTAACGATCAGGATACTTCAACTACCACCACAGCCAAGCTAAGAGTGTGCTTTTAGTCGACTCAAAGGACGATGGAGATGTCTTCTGAAAAGAATGGATGTTCAAATCTTGCGAGTTCCACATGTTGTAACAGCGTGCTGCATTTTGCACAATCTTTGTGAAATTCATGCACAATGTTTTGATGAAACTTGGATGGAATCAGCCCATGAACATACAACCAATGACTCTGATCTCCCCCAACCCAGAGAGGCTGGGCCACATGCAGTCCGAGATGTACCGACAGGGCTTTTTTCTCAGCAGAGAGGACATCAGTGACTGTCCACACTGTAATAAATGTAATGAAAATGAGTGCAAAGTAGAGTCTTGATGGACACACAATGCATTTTACACTATGAACAGACATGACTGCATGTGATTTCTATATGATGTAATGCTTCACAGATTTAGTCACACTCAATTGTTGTTTTATTAACTTAAAGTTCAAATTTTGTTGTATATAAGTTAACAATATTTCCACTCTAGCTATTTGTTAAATCATCTTAAATACATTTTGTACAGTCCATTTTCACTTGCAAATTGAACAAAGTTACATTGTTAAAGGGATGCATTTTGTAATAAACTTCATCATCAACTAAAAAGTCACAAGTTCAAATTAATAACAGTACAGTTAAACTACTGGCAAACTTACTTACACTGAATAGATAAATGCTGGATAGCAAACTGTTGTGGTGGCAGCCCGGGCTGACGGTGAGTGTCCTGTTTATTTCCCCTTTCTTTCTTGTGATTCTGTTTTTCCCTTGTGTTTTGGCCTGCCTGTTTGTGTCTCCTCCTTTCCCCCTGTGTGTGCTCTCCCTCTCTCTCTCCTTCCGCTCCTGAGCCCAGCCAACGACCCGCACCTGCATCTCGTCAGCCACCTCCTCTGCCTGCCACACCTGCCAGCAATCAGCCTCATCTCTGACAGTACTTCTACCCCGGTTCTCCAGTCAACCCCTGCTTGATTGTCGTTGCTCCTTACCCGGTGCCACTTTGCCACTCAAGCCCTTGAGTATTCTGCGCCCTGTGCTTTGTTCCCACTGCGTCTAACCCTGTCTGTCTGTCACCCCTCCAGGTTCACTCCCTCGCCCCCCCCCCGTGCCTCCTTGCTTCCTCGGTCCGCAGTACCCCCGGCTCCCTTGTCTCAGTCACCTCAGTTCTCCTTACCTGTGTTTCCCCGGCGTCCACCTCTCCCTCACCTCCACTCCCTCAACCCCTTTTCCCCTTCAATAAAGCCTATTCTGCCCGAGTGTTGCGTTTGGGGCCACCCTGCCCCCACACCACAACAGCTAACCTTTATAAATGGGAGAAAAACACTTCAACAAAACCATCTATTCTCTGAATGCTGAATTCTTACCTAAAGTTCAAAACAGTTGCAAATGTGCCATTAAAAATGCTAATATTAAAATATTTCAAATATTAAAGAACAACAAGTATTAAAACTGCAAGTCAGAAAATATACAACATTTAAATCAATCTCACGAAGAACATCCAAACAACTTGAAATACCTTTGACTACTAAATGCTAGCCAGAGTGCGGCCATTCTCTTCATCCTCTTTTTCCTCCTGTGGCTTTGGGTCGCGTGGAGCAGGTGGAGGGTTATGTACTGCCACTGGGGGTTCAAACTGCCCCAGAAGTTGGAGGAAGGACCATGATCTTGGGAAGGAGGCTGCTGGGAAAATGGCACCCAAGGGTCATATTGAGAACAAGGTGGTTGGTATTGGGGTCCACAGTGCATGTACGGATGCAGAAAAGGAAGTTGGGTCTGAGGTGTGGGAAAGTGTTGCTGATGGTGCTGTGAATTTTGGACTTGTATGGTTATAGACAGCATTAGCATTCCAAACCTCTCATGCTCATGTTTTGTTGCTTGTAATTTGAGTTGATGTTCATTGTCAGTTGTAGAGATAGATGTGATGGCCTTTGCAAACACCTCAAGTGATATGTCAAATTTGGATTAATTTTCCTCTGGCTGCTTCCAGCACTGCGACCTATTAATGGGACACACACACACACACACACACACACACACACACACACACACACACACACACACACACACACACACACACAGGTTTACATTAATGATTGGAAGTCATTTAAAATTAGTATTTGCTACTGTTATTCTTGACAGATACTAATGAAACTGGGTGCAAACAACTGTTGCATAAAAGTAAAAAGAACACAATGTAAGATCAAGGCGTTATTGATTTAGTGCACTGACTTGATATGACTCAGAATCTACAGCTGATGAATTTTACTTTAAGGCCAGTCCATAACACTGTCTCAACTTGACAGTGTTATGGATTGAGTGTGGTGATCACCTGTTTAATTTAGAAAGCATCTTTTCTTGTGTGTCTTTTGCTTCATGTCTTTCTTTCCATTTGTATGCCTAATATCTCTTCACTTTGTATCACCTGCCTGCTCTCATGTAGATTTGTTTGTGTTACTCTGGACCTCATCTCCACGTCAGCCTGTACCACTGTTTGTTGGATTATTAATAGACAAAAAGAACTGCATCTGTTATGCTAATGCAAGCTCCCTTCCGCCTCCAGTGTCTTAGTCTGTATTTCTTTTTTTTTTTTACAAATACAGGTACCTGGAACCCAACCCCACACAACAGTGGTAACATAGTATTTGCTTAAAGAAACAATCTTTCCAACTTTGTTTTGAGTTATAACCACAGAAGAAGGTCACAGATGGAGGTGTCTACGCGTCACGTCTTAGTTATCTTGTCACAACGTCTTATAATCTTTAGACAGTCTGAACCTCCTCACATGCTTGACATCTTTTCACCCCCTTCTGCACTATGATTTGTGTACTGATTTTGAATGTTGTGAGATAATGTCATTTTTGCAACGCTTAATTAACTTATGCCCATGTGATTGTATTGCTGGTCTTTTAGTTGCAACCAAAACTCCAGAGAGTATTGGATCCTGCCTGAGTGAGTCTGGCACTGATCATACAGTATATGCTCTAAACGAGAGCATACAAGGGCCAATTCTGACAATACTGAAACAATACTGTCAAATAACAAACACAATAACCATCTAGTCACTGCTTGCCTCCACTACCCACTACACTCCCTGTTACAGTAAGTGAGAGAACAGTAAGTACCGTAGGGCAATGTTAAATCTGCAAGTTGGTCTGGTAATTGTGATGGATGTTTAGCTAAAATTTTAATTTTCACTGAAGCTTCTCTGGTAATTATTAGATGAAGTGCCGATAAATTGTGCCATTTGAATGGAATGTAATCATTTCAGCAACAAACTAAATAGTTCATGAATACTGATCGTTGAGCTCTGAACATTTCAAATCGGCAAAGTGATAAATAATTTCCAACTCTTGATGCTAGGCGTGTGTATTGCACTTACAGTAACAGAACCACAAGGATGTCCAATTGTTAGTCAGATGGGGCAAGAAATGGACAAAAACCTGTAGCAACAACAGTAGGAAAAAAGAAAAGGATGAGAGTATGGGAAAGTGTGAAAACTAAGAAAGACAAGTGAGAATAGAGAAAAAAAGAGGGATAAATAGATTGAGAGAGTGAGAGCAGCTTGTCATTAAGCTCCACATTGATTTGACAGTTCTATTATGAAGAAGGATGAATGGTAGAAAAGTGGAATTTGAGCAGATAGCTCTTTTCTCTCCCCCTCTCCAGTTGTTTTTCACACTTTTCTGTCTTTCCTCTTTGTTCTCTTACTCTATTTCCCACAGTCCTTCCCTTCACTTAGCTCGTTTTCTCTCACTTTCTCTCCATATGCCTGCCACCTAAATGAAAAAGGAGAGCACTAATCTTTCACCCTCTGGATGATTTCCATTTTATCTTTCAATTACCAATAATCCCTCTCCTCCCTCTCTCTATTTTAAACTCACCCTTAGTTTCTCTCTCCATTTTCCGTCTTTTTTTTCCTCTCCATCTTTCTTGTTTTTCTCCTTCCCAGGTCCGATGAACATGAAATCATCTTTCAGACACTGTGGCTTGCTAGTCTCCATTTTGTGTTAGCTAAGACAACAACAGTAGCAACAGGGCATGCAGTGAGTCAGATGCACAATGCATTTTAGGAATGATCCCTGCTGGAGTACAAGGCGCAGCCTGTTATACTTACATACTGTGAATTTTGAATTGAAAGACATTAGAGATAAGTTATATTTTCACACATTTTAATGGTAGTTTGAATTTGGAATAAAAAGTAACAGGCTGTTAAAATAGTTATATGCATCCTAGACACACGGTGTAAAATAAGTACATTCTCTCACATGCTGTATATAAGTACAATTTTAAGTATTAATACTTTACTAATTACAGGAACTACTATTAAATAAAATTATTTAAACAGTATGCTATATAAATTAAATTGAATTAGCTCCACATTGACAAGAAACAACATTTACTTTTGATACTTACTTACTTTGATTAGTAAATTTAGATCTTTTGAATGCAGGATTGTTATAGAGTATTTTCACACTGTGGAAGTTAGTTGATAAGATTATTTTAGTTCTTATTTTCTAATTTTAAACCCCACATCTAGACATCTCTGGACCTGCAAATCAAACTCAAAATGAATAAGATGAAAAAATTGGTCAGCTGGCCAGCACCTGCTATCCTTAAGTTTCCTCCAACAAAACCCCCTCAGCAAGACCCCAACAAGTCTGCAACCTTCCGCTTAACTCCTGTTCATTTCTTCTCCCCATCTCATCTCTAAAGACCAAATTATCACCTCTCTTTGTCTCCTCTACTATTTCTTATACCTTCTAAATCTCAGCTCTCTATATCCTGTCTTTGTAACTCTAATGCTAGGTTCTTTTGGGGGGAATCTTTTCTTTTTTCTGTCCCTAAGTAACCCCAAAACCATTCCTCCAGCACACTGTGTCCTACTGTTCTCAGTGTTTTATAACAGCACCTTAGACTTTACTTCTTGAATTCAGAATAAAGGTTGTTACTTGAAGAAACTGCAAATAGCCAAGTGGTTTTATAACCTAACTCCTTATTCACACTGAGAGCAGCGAGGTTTATGGGTCGATCTGTTCTTCCCAGAAGCCCTGATTGCAAAATAGTCTAAAGCGTCAATATTATAAACCTGCAAATTATACACAGCTTTGGTATTGCTTTTGGACATAAAACAACCAAACACTTCAATAATAATGACTTCAGACAGCAATGCCAACTGTAGTGATGCTTGCAACCTTTCTCCAAGCATAATTTGCGGAATGTTCAATTCTGCAGATTTTCAAGTTAAACTTAACGTAACCGGGAAGTAATGCATGGGTGTGATCAAATCAAAGTTACACAGCATTGCTTACCAAACCAGAGAATAGCACATTTATGTTTTCTTTCAATTTCTCCCATCAATTCATGAGTGCTTCAGTGCATTCTAAAGTTAGATGAACAGTGACATTCACAGCATTTGTAAAAACAGACACTGAATCAAATAGTTTGCAATCCATAAATGCCAGGGGTGCTAAAGGGAGTAAACCTGAAAGACAGACTAAGCACCACATTGTGGGCCATTGTTGCTATATAGCGCAGCAATAGCCTCTTCTCATAAGCTGCAAGAGTGAAAATACCCCCACATATCCATATCATTTAACCGGGGTTTACCTCCAAAGTTTTTACCTTCTCAGTGATTGCTTACTTAGTTTCAGAATAGCTCTACACATAATGAGGTTGTCATAGACTTTTTTTTTTTTGTTTGTTTCAGCACATGTAAGAAATTGTCATTTGTCATCAAGG